CCCAGAAAGAAAGCCTAGAGCTGGGGGGGGGGGAGTGGGAATTTTCCGCAGGCCTGGCAGGGAGTCAAAAGCACCCACATTACTAGCTGGAAATTGGTAGCAAGGGGCAGCCAGACTTGACCAGCACATTGCACACGAATTGCATCCTCTCCTCCTCAGAGGCTGCTCACCTGGAGACCCGGAGTAGATGACCAATTCCCAGGGGCTTTAACTGGTGCTCCAAGACCTGGCCAGGACTCCTCTGTGTGCAGCAGCCACGGATCAAGGCACCTCTGCTCAAAGGCTCAGCCCACGGGAGGGGTGTGTGTGCGCTTCCACTCCTGCCCTTTCTGTGCAAGGAACCACCAAAGGACCCACAGCTGTCTGTGAAGAGTGTGTTTTGGTTTGATTGACTGCCTTTTCTTATCAACTTTTGACCTCCCCATGTCAGGTTGCAGTGTGTGTGTATGTATGTGTGTGTGTGTGTTGTTTTGCCACCTGCTGATCCTCCCAAAACGTTGACGGAGCCCTGGCTGCTGCTTCCACCCTCGGTTCCACGCTGGGCTGCCAGCAGGACAGAGATAGAAAGCCAAGGGGGAGCCAGGGAGGTATAGATAGGAACCTGCTCTCTGTTTTGGCTCTTCTGGGTGGAAGCGCCAGAGAAATTTCCCCAGCCAGAGGCAGGAGCTATTTATAGGGGATGGTATTTGGGGGAACAGCACTGCTTTTCCATTCGTCGTGGGGGAAAGGAAACTGAGCTGGGGAGAGGCGTGGCGTGCGCGCGTGTGTCCTGGCCTTAGAGCCACCTCTCCTCTCTCTCTAAGCCCGGCTGATGAATTCCCACCTCAGCTGGTGAACTGGCACATTTTGGGAAACAAGATGGTCATTCTTATCCAGCCTTCCCATGACTGGGCCAACATCAACCCTTCCTGAACTCATATAAAGTCCCTGTCATGTCCTTGCGTATACACACACACACACATACACACTTATTTATTTAGGCTATTTCATTGTAGCCCTCTGTCCCACCCAGCTTAACCTTCTACTGGGGGAAGGAAACTTTACCCTTTGAATTTTTACCTGCTAAACCTAGCCAAGATATGCCACAAGAAGGCTGCCTTCATGTTCTACACACATGTTAGTTTTGACCAAAATACTTCTATCTTTCATTTTTATTGTAATCTTCAGTCAAGATTTCTCCCAAGGCAGTTTATCAAAATTAATTTTAAAAAAGGCATTTACTAACAGTTTTGATTTTTATCAGGTATCTGAAGTGAAGTCATTCTGAACGCCCTTGTATGTCATCTTAGCAACATGAAATACCACCATGTGTGTCACCTACGACGTAAGCAGATTAATTGCCACTGCCTGTTATCTTAAAAGATTCAGCTACCAATAGGAGCCAGCTATAGACAACTAATTTAAGGTTCGAATAGGCAGAATCCAGCCAAGGTCCTCTGCTCAATACAGGATTCTTGTGAACCAACGAAGGTCTAATTTACAAGCCAGGTAAGAGGGCAATTCCCTACCCTTTCCTGGATGGCTTAACATTTGCAGTGTGTGTGTGCGCGCACGCGCATGTGTGTGTGCGCGTGTGCGTGTGCGTGCATGTGCACGCGCACGCCATCTTTGCACACATCTTTGTGTGTGCGTGCGCGTGCGCGTGTGCGTGTATGTGCGCGCGCACGCCATCTTTGCACACATCTGGTGGAGATCAGAGGACCTGGGTTTGAAAAAATTATCCCTTTTTGCGATGCTGGCCGGGGGATTAAGAACAGTTCCTCCCAAGCTCAGCTCCAGACCAGTTTGGCTGAGCTGAGAGGCAGAGTGGACTTTGCTCCCCCATTTTAGGTGCTGCCTTCCTTTACGCGGGGGGGGGGCGGACCCCAGCAGGGGACGAATCCTGGCGGTCAATGGGGCAGCCACGTCTCCGCCTTGTCCTCACTCGACTACCCTTCTCGCCCTGGAGAAGCAGCCGGTGAGGAAAGCACGTGGCCGAACCCCAGAGGGACGAGAGCAAAGGACCCTCTTGCAAGGATTGAGGGACTTTCCATTTCAACCAAGCAGAGGAGGAAGAAGAAGAGCGGAAAATCTCATTCATTCATTCCGTCCCAACCTGTCCAACGCCGGGCCCGGCTGGACGGGTTGGCTGCCAGCTGGGTGCCAACACTCCGG